AATACAAAAATTAAGCTGGGTGTGATGGCACACGCCTGTAGTCCCAGCTACTCGGGAGGTTGAGGCAGGAGAATCACTTGAACCCGGGAGGTGGAGGTTGCAGTGAGCTGAGATCACGCCACTGCACTCCAGCCTCAGCAACAGCCTTGAGACTCCATCTCAAAAAAAAAAAAAAAAAAAAAAAAAAAAAGGCCTGGCCTGCTGGACCCCAACGTGTGCAGGTAAGGGATAGGGAAGGGGAAGGGGGAGTGGAAGATCCACAGGAGGGTTCCTTCCAGAGGGATGGACCCACATGGACTTCAGGACGCATAGGATGGGACCCGAGGTGCTGTGCTGGGCAGCCCTGGGGTGGAAGGCATCCCAGGATGAAGGCAGGGGATGGAGAGGAAGGGTATTTCTAGAAGCTGAGAACATTTTATCTGGAAAAAGGTGGATCTGATCTGAGGACAGGAAGTGAGAAGCAGGAGGGGGTTGTTCAGGGATGGATTGGAGGCTCTTGGACCCAGAGAGGGAGGCTTTGTGTTCGTCTCTCCCGAGTGAGGGCGCCGAGAGAGCTTCCTCTGAAGAAAAGGAGGGGACAGGGAACAGCAGGGTTCATCCCCTGGCCACGAGAGCACTTCTTTCCTAGCACTGAGCTGTAAATTTCTTTCCGCATTTAGTTTTAAGTTTTCTCCTGCATTGTTCTTCCCTGTCATCATCCCCGAGAAAAGTGAGGTACCCACCCCTTCCTGATCTCAGCCATGGAGCTGTGCGGGCAAGCCTACGCTCACATTTGATGGGCAGCTTCCCTGGCACCCTTATCCACATGCGGGTCCCTCTTAGAAGCCAGCATAGCCCCAACCACACTGATTTCAGGGAGAACTGGGGTCCCAGGGGTCCCAGAGCATCAGGGGATGCCACCCAGCAAACCAAGCACGTCTTACAGAGTAAAGAGAGCTGCCAAGAGTTGGGGTGGGGATGAGACCACCTTCCCACCTCCCCCAACAGCCACCACGCACTCCCAGATCCAGGGAGGAGGAGAGGGCTTACTTAGAAAGGGGACATGTGGTTAGGCCCTGCCTGGAGGTGACACCAAAACCACAGAACACTACTGTGAGCAGCACCTCCTCGCAGCTTCTACTGCCAAGACCTGTGCCTCGAGACGGGCCAGAACCAGGTGAATCCCTCTTCCACACACCTGACTATCTTTCAGAGAGCCACGAGGTAGCCCAGGGGATTACCTGTTCTCCTGGCTAACACAGCGGCTTTAGCTGTTTTTCAAACAAGATTGTTTCAAGTCCTTTTTGCCATTCTGGTCACCTCATACTTGCCCCAGTTCATCTCTGAAGGACTGATCCTCTTTCGGAGCAGAGATGGGGTCTCCCAGCTCAGAGGCGGAGCAGGCCCTTCCCCTTCTTGTAGATGGCTAAGAGGGCTTCCGCTAAAGCCATAGTTCCCAGCCAGTGTGAGTTCACCCTCCCCAGGGACGTTTGGCGCTGCCTGGAAACGTACTGACTGTACCACTTAGGAGGTGGGGTGGGGATGCAATTGGCATCTAATGGGTAGAAGCCAGGGCTGCTGCTAAACATCCTATAATGCACACAGGACAGTCCTCCAAAACAAATTGTGATCCAGCCCCAAATGCCAACCATGCCACGGTTGGGAAAGCCTGCAATCGCAGTTTTAGGTGAAAATTTCTGAAATGTTTTCACATGTGCCGCCAAAGCCCTGCCCTGCTGAAGGTAAGGGAGACCCTAAACAAAAAACTTTCTGCCTAGTCTGCTCGTGGCTGCCACCACCCCAGTCCCTGGAGTAATGATTGAACCATAGTTGGACACGGCAATAAATATTTGCTGAATAAATGCATTTTCCCCATTCTGTGCTTGTGTCTTTGGAGGCAGGTCATGTGCGAGGCCTTTCTCTCATCTTATGACATCACCCAGGAGCACACTGAATATTAACACTGGTTATCTCTAAAACCAGTGGGATCAATGTGAACGGATCCCCCACACCTTCTCTTTTACTTTTCTGTATTCGTATTTCTATCAACTTGACTACTCTCTGATGCTCATAATTCCTTAGGGCCTTGAGAATATAGGTTTAAGGGACTCTGGCTTTAGCTCTTAGTGGATTAAGGGACTTATCTCTGATCTGGAAGATCTCTATTCCTCAAGAAATAAAATGAGAGTAGGTGATATGCAGTCTAGGTAGGGGGTGGGTGCCAGGCTGGGTTCCCAAAAACATGAAGCATTAGCATCAGTTTCTTGAATTTGGATCATAACACCATTCTCTGTCAAGCTGACTCTGAGGCATCAAGGGAAAGAGAAACGCGCACACACAGCCTGTCCGGGCAGTAAGGAAACTCCACCCAAATTTGCTTTACATGGATTAACATGGGAAACAGAAAGAGGGTAAATCTTTTGAGGTAAAACTGGCTGGCTGAAATCCAGCCTAATTTAACAAAAAGCTATCCTGGGTGTGATGGCTCACGCCTGTAATCCCAGTGCTTTGGGAGGCTCAGAAGGGAGGAGTGCTTGGGACCAGGAGTTCAACACCAGCCTGGGCAACATTAAGACACCCCATCCCAGCCAGGTGCGGTGGCTCACACCTGTAATATCAGCACTTTGGGAGGCCAAGGCGGGCAGATCACGAGGTCAGGAATTGGAGAGTAGCCAGGCCAACATGGTGAAACCCCGTCTCTACTAAAAATATAAAAATTAACTGGGCATGGTAGTGGCCGCCTGTAATCCAGCTGCTCAGGAGGCTGGAGCAGGAGAAATCGCTTGAACCCAGGAGGCAGAGGTTTCAGTGAGCCGAAACCATTGCATTCCATAGCAACAGAGTGAGACCCTGTCTCAAAACTAAAAAAAAAATAAAAAGAAAGAGACCTTGTCCTTACAAAAAGTCAAAAAATTAGCCAGGCATAGTGGCGCATGCCTGTAGTCCTAGCTACTCGGAAGGCTGAGGTGGGAGGATTACATAAATCTGGGAGTTCAAGGCTGCAGTGAGCTATGATCTCCGCACTGCACTTCAGCCTGGGTGACAGAGTGGGACCCTGTCTCTTAAAAAAAATTAATAAATAAAATAAAAAATATATATGTGTAGATGTGTGTATGCACACACACACACACACATATACACATATATGAGGTTGTTGCAAAAGTAATTTCAGTTTTTACTACTAAAAGTAATGGCAAAAATCACGACTTTTGCACCAACCTAATGTATCTCCCAAGAGCCATGATATGGTGTATTGGTATTGTCCTGGCAAAATTCCAGGGGCCCTCAGGCAGACACTGCCTTGTACCCAGAACTCACTGCCTTTGGGTCACCGAACCATCCCCTCAGTCAGTTGTCTCCTCTAAGGCTCTACATTATCAACGAGATGAGGCCCCTTGATCATGGTTGACTATAGGTGCAAACGCCATTCTCCAATAAGAAGCCACGGCTTGGCTGTCTGTGATGCAGCTTGAGAGACGGCTGAGTTGGCTGTGCATGCGCAGTCCAGCCGTGAACACTTGGCCCCCTTGATAAGCACTTTGACTACACCAAGTCAGCCCTATAAAAAGCAGCCTGCCTGGCCCTTTTCCCAGGCAGTCTTGACATCACAGATTCCAGGCTCCGCTGTTGTTGTCACACCTGCTAGTACCCGCTGACAGCACACTGCCCTCTCCTGACTGTACAGGGCTGACCCGGAATTCCTGGGGGCCCCACAGGCTGCCAGCGATGATGCCCACCCACCCCATACTTTGGCCCTCAGAGCTGTTTACTCTTTTCTCCTGGGCTTGAGTTTCTCCCCTCCTCCCCACTGGATCCAGGGAAGTCGGTGCCAATGAAGCTTGCTTGCCTCTACTCAGCTGTGTTCTTTATGCCAGAACTCATTGGGCTAATGGCAATGAACCTCTGGAATTAGGAAATTGGTCTTTAACCAGACCAGTTTTTTTGGCACAGGAATTAGCACAGGGTTCTACAAGGGGTCCCTCTTGTTAGTGAACACCGGGTAGAACCCAGAGAGGAAGGCCCTGTCTGAATTAGTGCAGCATCCCCAGTATAAGTCATGCTCCCACAGCTAGGAAGATGTTGCTTTCACATAGACGCTGCACAGCCAAGTTCTTTGCCATGGAGATGGCCTCCTGGATCTGCCTTACTGCAGCAGTAAGAGTAATGGTGAGACATCACATTTACCTGATGTGATGGGTCTGCGGTGAGTTACACAGAGAGCTTCCTTCTAATAAAGGAAGCACCCAGAGACTCAGTTCATTGAGAAGCTTCATGGCCAGAAGTAGGAAGAATGTCTTTGCCTAATGATTCATTCTTTCCCTAATGGCCTAGAGGGGCCACCTTTCTTCTCCATCCTCCTCCTGGGGAAGTGGACATCTGGACTCCTTTCTTGGGCCCATCTGATTGCTAGAGACTAGTTGGCTTCTCACAGTCACCCCTAAGACATCTGCCTTAACTCCAAGGATGGAATAATCACAGCTCAAATGATCTATTCCCTCTGTCAGCTTGGCCCAGGCTGAGAGGGGAGATGCTGCTGCTGCTATCTTTTCTGTGGCTTTCTCTCCAGCAGACACAGCCAGGACCCAATGCTGATGTATGTGAAACAAAGCAATCCCTTCTCCACTCAGGCATTATTCCCAGAAGATGGCTTGTGTCCCACTTCACTGTTTCTCCCTACCAACCTCTCCTCTCCCCTCCCCTCCTTTCCCCTCCCATCTCTTCCCTTCCCTTCTTTTTAGAGACAGGGTCTTGCTCTGTTGCAGGGTAGTCTCAAACTCCTGGCCTCAGGCAATCCTCCTGCCTCAGCCTCCCAAAGTGCTGGGATTACAGAAGTGAGCCCCCACACTTGGCCCCACTTCACTATTACTTTCATAGCTTCTACAATCAGAGTCTTAGAAGTGTCTGGGAACGTCTGGCAAAGGCCAGTGATGAATGACCTTCCTGAGGCCTCTAGCCACCAATGCCTCCATGACTTTTCTTGCTCTGGACCCCAACATCTCAAGGTAGTTTGGGTCTCATACCTTAACAAGGCAGTGCTGGTGACATTGACTGGAACTCTGCCAGGCCAGTAAGCCAGTGCCGGGACGCGGTGCCCACCTTCCCAGGTTGTCTGCTTAGCTGGACTTCCCCCTGTGAGAGGAAGGGAGGTAGCTGGTTCATCCATGGTGATAACTTGAAACTTCTTTTCAGCTAGGAGATGGTCTCTGGGAGAACCCCTCTCTGAGTTTCCAATAACCCCAACAAAGGAATAACTTTTTTGGTAACCAGCTATTTTCCTCGACTAGCTAGTATCTTTCAACATATGCTTTTTATTTTACTGGACTTCAGATGTAAAAAGTTGCCTCACTCTACTGAATCACCTCATTTTATTTTCTTCATAAGACCTTCCCCACGGTAAATTTTTTCGTTTATTGATTTGCCTGTTGTGTGTCTCAACACATGAGACTTCATCAGTCTCATGCACCTAAGGCACAGAGGGGCTTAAAAAAATCTTTGTGGAATAAGTGAAGTTCTCTTCCTAGTGATCACAATGTGACTGTCTGTTTAGGATGAAGAAATACAACTATTAAAGAAGAAGGAAACTTCTCCAGCTATTTGATCCGCTCACCATCCAAGAACTGATCTGGCATGGATTTTATGGCTTTATTTTGCTTTGCTTTGCTTTGTTTTTCCTTGAATTAATGAGTTGTTCTGATGTTATGGAGACAGTGTCCGTAATAGCTCCAACCTCTTGCCTCTCGGGGGAGGTAAGAACTAACTACGTGCGATCTATGAATGTCCACTTTGGCAATTAAAGGAATTATTTTTGTAACCATTAAGTCAAAAGTGACCACCAGTATAATGATGGCCAGCGGGCTGGAAGAGATGAGGTCATGTTTGATGGAAACATCCTGAATACATGTTGGGTTGCATTAACCACGACCATCCCACCACCCCCACACACACCCCACCCTCATCCTGGTTGAGCCAAGGGCCAAGGATCCCACAAAGTTAGCGTGTGCACAGCCTTTCCAAGGCAAGTGCCGTGTGTGGCTCACACACACTGCGGTCATGCAACTTCCCTTTGTTTGGCTGGTGTGAATAATAAAAGCAGTTACGTGGGGAGGAGCGTGGGGAGGAACAAGATGAAGGCTTCTGTCGCTCTGTACCAGCACTGCTGCAAACAGAACCTTTGATGTCCCTGGCCCAGCACACCACACCGGAAATGCTCAGCATTCTTGGGACTTTTTCATAACCAGCTTTGGAGTCCCTCAAGTTTTGAAGTAAGAAACAAAACACAAAATAACTTACATCCTATGGACTGTTTATGTGTAAGGGCGTGGGGTTCGAAAAACCAATTGGAGTCTCTGCAGGCTGAGTGAGACAGTCTTTTGATCTAGCTCAGCGTTGCTCAAGTACGTCCTTCCTATCGAGAGCCACGTCTCCCATAAATACATATTGCTCCCTCCAATGTATTCGAACACTTGGAACAAAGAACCCAGAACCCCAGCAAGCATAAAACGCATTTCCACGTGGCTCTGGAATGTATGACTTATGCTTCAGCTCAGGGCCAAAGAGCAGGGAGGAAGCATCCTCTCAAAGGCATGTGCTGGGGCTTTGTGGTTACTTCCACCCCCATGGGGGCATCTTTGGAGAAGTTTGGGGTATGGGTGGGTGAAAACAGGGAGCCTGTTTATATGCATGACCATGGTGTATAATATTCAAACAGTCTTGTTTAACCTTTAAGGCCAGATGCTAAGGAAAGATCAAGGCTTTAGTTCCAGGAAACAAGCCATTAGCTCTGCCAGTCAATCAGAAGGCAGGAGCTGTGGGTCTGCATTGGGGTGGGTAATGACACTAGGGTTGGACACAGGATTTGGTCTCTGCCTCCAGGATGTTTCCAGAAGGGTAAACTGACCTTTAATTAGTAAATTTGCTAATCGGCTTTTACCACTAGGGATTCTTTTTGTTTGCCACAACCTTTTGTGTTGCTGTCTTGTAGGTGACTGACTTTCCTAATGCATTCTTCAGAGAAAAATGTTTCAGTGTGCTTGCCTTATTTCAGCAAAGGATTGAAAGCTGGAGGGGTTTGGAGAAATCCGGCTAGTTATAAAACAGGTATAGTCAACAAAGCAGACCGTCTCCTTGCAAAGATTCAGGAATTAGGAGAAAGAAAAAGACTGGCTGAGAGAAACCCCCACCCAGTGTGGTCACTTAAGGAGCAATCCCCTCTTTCTGCCGTAGAAACTACTCGGCTGGTGCAGGCTACACCCTGGGTTCTGGCTTTCACAGGAAGACACAATTATATATGCCAGTCACGCAAATGATCACCAGCCCACAGACCTTGTATTCTAAAGGCATTTATCTTAAAAGAGTCTAGAGTGTGAACAAGCATAAACATTATTTATGTATCACCCATAACACAGATACTGTCTTGCTATAAATCCCAAATTCTCACTGGTACTGCTAGGAGCGGACAAAGCTTACAAAGATCTGACTAGGGTTGTGTAGTCTAATGATAAGATGCATATGCTTGTTTCAAACAGACCTGTTGTATTTTACCTGCACCAGCAAAGGCTGAATTCTAGCATAGCTACTCATGATCCCCCAATAGTCTTCAGTGATACCTGCTCACACTAATGGATAGTTATTTGAAGTTAAACATATTAATAATAAGAGCAATAATAACATCCCCTATTTATCGAGCTGTTACTAAGTACCAGGTTAAGTGCTCCTAAGCATAATACATGCTTCCTGGCATTATCTCACTGAATCCTTATGACAACCTCTCAAGTTAGGCACTGTTATCCCCATTCTTCTGATGAGGAAAGCAAAGCTCAGAGAGGCTAAGTAATCTGCCCAAAGTCACATAGCTAGGAAATAATAGAGCCAAGATCTGAATACCGGTCTGACTACACAGCCAGCACCCTCACTCACTAAACCTTCTAGGGCAGTGGTTCCCATTTTGAATATATATTAGAATCACTAGGGGAGCTTTTAAAAAATGTCCATGCCAAGGTCTCTTTCCCAGAGATTGTGATTTAATCGGCCTGCAGTGAGGCTTGGACATCAATATCTTCTAAAACTCTCCTGGGGATTTAGTGTGGAGAACACCCATTCCCAGAGAAGGAGGGCGAGGGGCAAGATCGGGAAGAGAACACAGCACATTTCAAAGTTCAATGTAGCTTATGTAACCACAGGCTTTCTGCTACCCATGCCTTTGTAACTTTATGCCATAGCATCATAAATATGACCTCGTAAGTCACAGCAAGAACAATAGATAATCCATAAATGACACTTGTAATTGCTTTTCAATTTCAAACACGATTCATTCATTTAGATAAGCCTCCATACTTTGATCAGGCACTGGCGCATTAAAAGTGTTAGTTGCCTTCGGCTTTCTGTCGAGAAATGCATGTCTTATAGCCATGAGAATGCATTTCTATGCACTTGTGGTTACTTATGACTCTAATTAAAGCAGAACCTCTTACTTAAAGCAATAAATATTTAGCCACAGCAACCAAAATATAAACAAAACCATGATTCATGAATTTGCTTATTTGTGCTTCTCTGGGTACGGAAGTGAAGTGGCATTTTATGATGCATCAAGATGGGGCAGGCTAAGGAAGACTCACCACGGCCCACGCGGAGGAACAGTGGCCTTTCTTGGCTGGAACCCAAGGACCACGTTTCACTGAGTCAGAAGGGTAATGCCACGAACAAGGAAATTTACAAATTTCTCCATACAGAAGAATCACCAGAAGAGATCTCATCTAAGATACGGATTTCTGGGTCCTATCCCCAATAATTCTAATTTAATAACTCTGGGTTAGGGGTAGGGCTCTGATTTTAGGTAATTCTGATGTCAGTGGTCTGAAAACCAGAGTTGAAGAAGTATTCAAGGAATAATTAGGAGGATGCCTTTGGGGGCAGACAGGTCTCCAGTGCCACCCCTGCCAACCATGTGGCCTTGGGCAGAATTCATAATCTCCCTCAGTCTCAATCATCACCGGGAAGCAGGGAAGTGATTGTACAGTTGACCCTTGAATAACACAAGAGTTAGGGTACTGACTCCGAGCAGTTGAAAACCTGGGCATAACCTTTGCCTCTCCTAAAAGTTAACTACTAATATCCTTAGGTTGACCAGGAAGCCTTACCAATAACACAATCAATTAAGACATATTCAGTATGTTATTTGTATTATAAACTGTAGACGTATAATAAAGTGAGCTACAGAAAAGAAAATGTTAGTAATAAAATTCTGGCCAGGCAGAGTAGCTCATGCCTGCAATCCCAGCACTTTGGGAGGTCAAGGAAGGAGGATGGCTTAAAGCCCAGGAGTCTGAAAACAGCCTGGGCAACATAGTAAGACCTTGTCTCTACAAAAAAAAATAATAAAAAACACAAAATTAGCCAGAGGTGGTAGTTCCAGCTGCTTGGGAGTCCTAGCTGGTAGTCCAGGCTACTTGGAAGGCTGAGGTGGGGGGGAATCACTTGAGCCCAAGAGGTTGAGGCAGCAGTGAGCTCTGATTACATCACTGCCCTCTAGCCTGGGCAACACAGTGAGCGAACGTGAGAGAGAGAGAGAGAGAGAGAGAGAGAGAGAGAGAGAGAGGGAGAGAAAGAGAGAGAGAGGGAGGGAGAGAAAGAGAGAAAGAAAGAGAGAGAGGGAGGGAGAGAGAGAAAAAAGAAAAAAGAGAGAGGGGAAGAGAGAGAGAGGGAGGGAGAGAGAGAGAAAGAAAAAGAAAGAGAGGGAGGGAGGGAAGGAGGGAGAGAAGGAAAGAGAAAGAAAGAAAGAAAAAGAAAGAAAGAAAGAAAGGAGAAGGAAGGAAGGAAGAAAAGAACGGAAGGAAGGACGGAGGAAGGAAAGATCAGAAGAAAGACAAAGTATAGTCTATGGCCATACCACCCCGAATGCACCTGCTCTTGTCTGATCTTGGAAGCTAAGCAGGGTCAGGCCTGGTTAGTACTTGGATGGGAGAATACCTGGGATACTGAGTGCTATAGGCTTAAACAAAAATAAAAATAATGAAAAATAAAAGTAAATTTAAAAAAAGACCAAATGTATGTCTGTTCATTAAGTGGAAGTGGATCATCATAAAGGTCTTTATCCTGGTTGTCTTCATGTTGCGCAGGCTAAGGAAGAGGAG